AATGCCTCACACTGCTGATAACAAAATCTCCAATTATATATCCTAATCAAATAATATCTTTCAACTCTTTCTTTCTGCTTGCCCTTATCATAACTGGCTGCGCAAGATGGCAATCACTGGATTGTCTGGTCGAGACTTAATTATTTATAGACCACCCTCATATAGTTGGAATATTGCTAACTCAACGTAAAACAAACAAACAAACATTACAGGTTGATTCATCCTCTTCATTTGTAACATTAACAGCATGACTGACATTTACTTGACAGACTTCACACTTACGCCATTGCATTTACAGCGCAAATTCATAACTTCAAAGTCCAACATGTCAATATTACTTCCAAACTCAATTGAAAAAATAAAAATGCACACACAAAAAACAACATCCTCAACATCTGTTTTGAAAGAAATACTCTAAACATCACAAACAAAAACACTCCCATAAACCCATATACAATACTACACTACTAGATATATATATCTCCAACAGCTTCGTGCAGACCACATGACAATAGATACCCAAACTGTCAATAACCAGGTCATAATCTTGCAAACAAATCCAACATGTTTGACGTCAAATGAAACAGGAAAAGAGCGCTGTAGCATGCCCACCAAGCTAATGTGGCAATAGCTTATCCGTATGTGTGACCTAGCATCTCCCGGTACATCAGACTGTCAGCTGTGGATACAGCTGGCTTTCCTGACAACCACTAACACCTATACATAGTTGCTTGGTCATAATCCTGTATTTCCACTCCACACCACTACACCTATATATACAGCAAACCTGTTGCTTCAAGGCCTGGAGCTCAAAGCCATCTACTAGGGTAGACCGGACTTACAGGATGCAGGGTATAAATACACCAACTTTTCTCAGTGAAAAAACCCTGATGCAATAATCGTCTTAAGTTGATGTTAAAGTATGGGAGTTACCATCATCACAGTGCAACAACTGTCGTAAGTCTATGTTAAAGTAGGGGAGTTACGATCATCTTGTAGGGGAGTTACGATCATCTTAGTGCTATAACTGTCGTAAGTCTATGTCAAAGTATGGGAGTTACGATCATCTTAGTGCTATAACTGTAATAAGTCTATGTTTATGTAGGTGAGTTACGATCATCTTAGTGCTATAACTGTCGTAAGTCTATGTTAAAGTATGGGAGTTACGATCATCTTAGTGCTATAACTGTCGAAAGTCTATGTTTAAGTAGGTGAGTTACGATCATCTTAGTGCTATAACTGTCGTAAGTCTATGTCAAAGTATGGGAGTTACGATCATCTTAGTGCTACAACTGTCGTAAGTCTATGTCAAAGTAGGTGAGTTACGATCATCTTAGTGCTATAACATTCATAAGTCTATGTCAAAGTATGGTAGTTACGATCATCTTAGTGCTATAACTGTCGTAAGTCTATGTTTAAGTAGGTGAGTTACGATCATCTTAGTGCTATAACTGTAATAAGTCTATGTCAAAGTAGGTGAGTTACGATCATCTTAGTGCTATAACTGTCGTAAGTCTATGTCAAAGTATGGGAGTTACGATCATCTTAGTGCTATAACTGTCGTAAGTCTATGTTTAAGTAGGTGAGTTACAATCATCTTAGTGCTATTACTGTCGTAAGTCTATGTTAAAGTATGGGAGTTACAATCATCTTAGTGCTATAACTGTCGTAAGTCTATGTTTAAGTAGGTGAGTTACGATCATCTTAGCGCAAGTGTCGTAAGTCTATGTAACTGATTTGAAGAAAATATCACATCATAATAAGGAAAAGCATACATGCCAAGTTCAGCTTCCTTCAGAGAAACGGGTGTTTACAAAGCCATGGAGGCAAAATCAAGTGAAAAGGTACAGCATATTGCAAAACCATCCAACCTGGATAAAATGTGTTGAGGCCCACTATTGACTATTCATATACTATATTACACTTTGAACGAAAATGGCTGCGTAATGGTCACAAATTGATTTTTAACAATATGGCTGCTGTCATCATTGATGGGAATCATATGAAGTTTCAGCATCATTTGTCCATTAGTTTTCAAGGTGATGAACGTTTACAATACAAAGCAACACATTTGGAAACAATTTATCAAACACAAGTGAGGGCCAGGTGAGCTTAATAATCATAACTGAAATTCAAGTGTTCAATACCTCGAGAAGATTGTTCTATTACAGTACAAACTGTAATACTGCAGCTGTATGATGCCAGCCTGTCATTACATGGGGTCTGGACCAGGCACAGTGGTTGATATCATGAGCAATGATCTCCATCATCCACCTTCTACGAGACATTTTACCAGTCACTCATGTAAGGATAAGAACTTGCACTGGCCTGCTAGCCTAAGTCAGCTTTTCTGATGTTAAAGATATCTGAAAAAGGTTATAAAATTTCCTGCTATTCAGGGGTGTGGTTCCATGTTATCACGATGCAAGCCAGTAACTGTTTCAGGTTAAGTTGGATCCCTGCACATGTATGTACTCACTAACATTATTCAAGTCTTTAGGACAAGCTTGAAGAACATGGGACCTACCCTGCTCTAGAAACGCTCATGGGGTGTTGGCCAATATCAAAATGAATTACTTAGAGGGTTGACCAACTAGAAGATGGAGTCTACAAAAATGACACAATCTTGAAAATGTATTAATAAATATGTATGTACATACTGATGATGTATTAAATTCTTTACCATGCTTGTACCATTTGTACCAATACAAGATGTGTATATCTGACAAATATGTTACTAACACCAGTCAACCACTGCAGCCTGTTGCAAAGATTTAATTCACCCTCTTGGCAGTCTGGGGCAGTATATATCATAATGTGCCCAGAACCTAGGTGTGTACTTGATTAGAAATAGTAAAAAACTCTGGTGCACTACAATATGTGGCCTTAGATGTGATACACAATACATACGTACCTGTATCACAATACATGATACAAAATATATTTTACTTACTTAATAAATGAATAACCCGATCTAAATAGGGGTAAATGCCAATAACCTGTCAGCTTGAAAAGTGACTCGTGTCCAAAAAATCAGCTGTTTTAGATTCAAGGAAGAAACAGTATGTGGCCCTTATCACTCATCTTTATGGCCATTGTGTTCTAATTCTGGCCTATAGAGATACATTCTGTATCTTGACCAGTGTATTGAGGCTTTTCATATCAATGCACCCCTAGGAGCAACTGCAAAGTTATGTTACATACTTCCATGTGTGCTCTTTGTTTTGTCACCAACAGTCTAAGTTAATTCAGCAGCTTAAATTTGGGTTGGTAGGTAATCGGACCAACTTGTTTCGGGCCTAGATAAATAAAACCATGTTACGCCCAAGCCCTTTGATAAGAATAATAAGTATAACACTCATACAGCCACTGACGGTTGTTCAAAACACCTGTAATGTAGGGGCAACAGAACAGTAGTCTACTGTAAAAGGGTTTGATAAGAACAGGTTTCTATGACTTTCAGGTAAGATTTGTCACAGCTACAATCACTTCCTGAAACACATGTCTGAACATAATGAACTAAACCTCACAAGCAACAAAAATGACACATTTGCAAACTTCCCTGTATGTCTGTAGCAATACATGTACTTGCTATAATTCAACACAACAAGGGATCAGAGGTCCATCAGTGCAGATAACGAAATTCATCACAGCTTTGCCCATAGCGTGTTAGAAAATGGATGAGAGCACTGTTAAAAATGACACTTGTTCCTACAGTCTGAAATATTATTCCCAGGAATCATCACTGGAACTATGATCATATTAAAGGACTAATGAATGAAAAGAGTGAGTTCTTCAGCTGCACCACATCACAGAAGGAATTGCTGTCATCTTAGGGTACATAAATCAATACAATGTTTTTTCCTGTATCATTGCTGAGGTTGGTTAACTCTCCTTTTTTTCCAGGTGGAGCATGACAGGATGGGCACATCCTAGAGATGACGACATGTCAACACTTTTATTTCAACAGTCTAGAAACTCCTGATATAACTACCTATATTTCCCTTCTATTAGAAAGTACAAATATGTAGTAAATGTACTCAAAAGGTAAAAATACCTCATTAGTCGTATCAGTAAAGGGATAAAATCCATACCAGCACTTGTCATCTTTTGGAGCATTCCAAAATGCATCTTGACAATGAATACTGAATATTGTTACATCCCTATTATAGTGTTGCACATCCTGGTGAAAGTGACAATGATAAAATCTAATATATTCACTTTAATAGACCCCTCTGGAATGGTATAATAATATTGTCTTCGCATCTCTTAGATACCTGGCCTCCATATCTTCATGGTTACAGTACTGTTTCTGAGGGACTAATTTACATGGTTTCTAAATGGGGATCATTCACTCACAGTATCACTACATGTATCATCTAGCCAAGACCCACCCTCTATTCATCCAATATCACACAGAGTAAGTCAGACCTGTTGTTTTTGTTAGACACAGCTCATAAAAAGGTTATCTGAGGTCAGGCATCCATATGAGGAAATATGGTTGTTTCAACCAGTCATTGACCTTCATCATACACCAAAAGAAACAAGAGACTACACACATTACAAGTTATTTTTATAAATGATAAATGCGATTTTTTAACAGAGCCTGGGTTCTTCTGTGTACCCTTCTTCGACAGTGCATCAGCTGATAACTGATGTCACTGGTATCAATACCGTCTAACATGTGACTATCGTTCGTCGTTCAATTAACTCGTAACCATGCAGAAAGGCTGAATAAATCACCATAGCAGTAGTCTGAAACTTTAACTATTTCCTTTTTCTTTTCGATGAGTCTTCATCGATGACTGTAACAACATCCGTCTCTAATAAAACAACCCCAATCATGATACTGTCACGTTAAATAGGCTATGTGTACTGACATAAACAGACGTCAGACGTACTTGGCAGCGTGAAGACAAGATGATTACATTAACTTCAAAAATAGATAATGACTCTCCCCAAATGCAAGAAATAACAAAAGTAAAATTTTCTAATCTTACCCGGGCCTTCAGGAGTTTGTTCTTAATCCTCCAAATTTCAGCGGTTTGCAGAGTAATCCTTCATACAACGGAATTCACACCATCGATAAATTTGTCACTCCAACACAAATGAATACTGAACCCAATCACGTTACCGGAAGTGAGGTCCGCCGCTGGAAAGAAAATGTAGTGCAATTAAATAATGAGGCAAACACGAAAAACGTGCTTTAACGCAGTCAGTAAGATTGTAGCTAAATGCACATGTCCAAAGTACTACTGAGTTTTCTTTACTAACGAGCATATCCACATGAAACCAAGCCGCGGTCTGTTTTTGTGTATTAATACTCACCGTTGAATAAGTCTGTCAAGGTGCACTATATTGAAATATTAGGCGGTAAATGGTGACCCAAAATAAACATAAGGGTTTAAGAAGAGTGAATTATGTGGAGCATCTCGGAAAGCGTGACCTGAATTGCTTATTGTGTCTTGGGTAACAAAAGTTCTAACTATCCAGTTACCTGTCTTTTCTATAAACTGTTTTCTAAGCAACTACCTTTCCTGGTAACATCTGCAGGTGCTCGAAGTCAGTGAGCAAAGTAGGGGTTACAACCGACTCCTTATTTCGAGGCGTATTTTAGCCCTGCGTGTCAAGGTGTTCATTAATCAAGTGTTCATGAATTGTGTATTTGGCTATATTTCGGCAGTAACATTTCAAGTACAGCACTCCATGACGTCTGGATATGTGTTTCAAACTAAAGCGATCATTATTAATCAACACGTCATAAATCCTTTAATTTATTTATTATAAACCAACTTTCGGCCCAACAATTCTTATATGCTGGGGGCATGTCATTAACAATTTGTTATTTTAAGCGTATAGTGTCAAGGGCAGCTGTGTATTGGTCAATCAAGTAGGTATCAAGGCATATCCCAACTCAGTTCTTCAATAAACAAAACTGACGATCAAGCTGTCGCCTTAATGATCGTTAATTAGTTGATTAATTAATCAGTTAATGGCCTGCATTGTAAACAAGTGCCCCTGGTCCCCTAGGTCAGTCAAGTAGAACAGCTAGGGTATTTCGTCACACAATAAAGAGCAGGACCTAAAAACATGTAGATTTATCACGTGCAGGTTTCATTTGATACGCTCCTACTAGAGTGAGTGGGTGATTTAACGCCAGTTTTTTTTTCTAGAAACGTAACAGTTTCTGGTTTTGTTAAATGCAATAAAACAGAAGTTTATCCGTGAAATTGTATGTTTTCTTATTTACTCAACAACTTCTAGAATGCCAATCTGTTTTTCAGTTATTCTACGGTGTTTCAGAAACCCACGAGCACGGGTATGGTGCTGAGATATCTGGAAACATGATTAGGACAAACCGGGATTCGAACCCATGACCGTTATTCTTGCCCCTGCAAATAAGAGAGAATGACTGAGTGAGTGAATTTAAGCCGCATCTGCAATATCTAATCTTTTCGCGGCTAGAAAAGAGAATGACAGATTCATGAATCCAAATCCGTTAACTGTTGAAATCATTAATGAGTTTCTTTTATTTCAAGGATATTTGAGTTGTAGTACTGACAGTTACAAAGTACTTTGCCTGTCCCTGTATTTAATTAACGGAAAAAAATCCTTTCTACTCGGCCTGGGACGAGTCCAAATTTAGTACCCGGGTACCCAACCCCCCATTACCCGACCCTACCCGGGTACCCACTGTAGGTCTCAAGAGTTGGGAACACAATGTCTAATTGGGAATAGTTTAACTGTAGCCCTGGCAAAAATTGTTTAGATACATGTATGAAACCAGAGACCATATAATAGGTATATGGTCTCATGAAACGATAAAATCATGCGTACACTGAAGTTGACTGAAGCTTTATCTTTCCTCAAACATATAGACAAGTCAAAAGGAATGTGTGCACCATCATAAAGAAATGGGAACATTATCGATTAGTGTAACCACTGAGCTCTAATGAGTTTTTGTCATTAAACAATATGTCTCGTGGCTAACCACGGGTCCGGGTGGTACTGTGGGCACCCGGGTCCTACTCAGGACCCACCCGACCCGAGTACCCGAGTTACCCGTCCCAGCCCTGCTTTCCACTTTATCAGTAATTATCCTATTGTCAAGGATGCATGTATTATTGGACCCGTGAAGATCCGGGGTAGAATAGGTCCCATGCTTGCCAAAAAAAACGACCATGCTTGGCTTAAGAAGCGACCAACGGGATCGGGTGGTCAGGCTCGCTGACTTGGTTGATGCATGTCATCGTATCCCAATGGCGTGGATCCATCCATGTCAGTCACTGGATTTTCGTTCCAGACACGATTATTTACAGACCGCCGTCATATAGCTGGACTATTGCTGAGTGCGGCGTTAAACAACCAACAAACAAAGCATGTATAATTGACTATTAACGTTGTGTAGGGATCACCTCATATGAATAGGAGGGACCGGCATAGCTTACTGTCAGTTTACACCTTTATATTGTTGCTTTCATTTTAGCGCAACGAACGTAAAGAATGGAGGCTGACCTTACCCATAACGGCCCAAATATGTGCATGGATTAATTACATCGTGTCAGTGACCCACTTTAGTTGAAGTCAACAGGACTCCTCCTCCCCCTCCAGCCCCCCACCCACCCCCCCCCCCCCCCCCCCCCCCACCCCCAACACACACACCCCTCCCCACCCACCCACACTCACTCCCGATAGGTGCCCGATTCGCACGTAAAATCTCTTATTCTCTTGACACAGGTCCATGTTCGTCATGATACGGACGAAGCTCCAATGAGGGCCCAAATACCATCATCACTTTGTCCTGTGTAGGATGAAATCTAGTTGTGGAACACACACACACACACACACACACACACACACACACACACACACACACACACCACCCCAGCCTCCCCATCGCCCATTACTGGGAAGTGTCACGCCAACAGGAGTATATATGAAAACGACTATTTGTTTTTAATTTTAGATGAGTTGATGTTTTCAGTATTCAATGAAACATGGGCTAGTTACTGTTAATTTACTCTGCAAAAAAAGACATGCAAACGTTATACTCTTCAAGGAAAGAAAAAGAAACGCAAAGCCAGATTCGTGTGAGGTAGGTAAATACATTTATACGAGGAACCGTACAAGGTATTGAGCCAAAATGTTGTGGAGAGAACACTTGGTGATTGTAGTCATCTCAGTTATCGGTACATAGGAAAAGTCAAAGGTGAAGGTCAGCTACCATCAATAATTTGGAACTGATAGCGGCCTGACATCTCCTGCCCATGGAAGAGACGAGTATGCGAATCACATCCTGGGGAATGGTAGCCCACTCGGCCTGCAACGCAAAAGCCAACTGCTGCAACGTCTGGGGTTGTGGTTGACGTAGGCGTAGCCATCTATCCAATTCATCCCACAGATGCTATATCGGGTTCAAATCCGGGGATCTGGAGGGCCAGGGGAGAACATCAACGTTGTTGTTGTGTAGACGGACGCTTGTGATCCGTGCTGTATGTGGTCGAGCGTTGTCTTCCCCACACCGTGGCCGTTGGCTGCAACTGGGAGGACGTGTGGTAGGAGAATTTCGTTGATGTATCGTTGAGCCGTAGGACTGCCCTGGATATTGACCAAACCTGTCCTGCCTTGATGAGAGATATCCGCCCACATCATAACGCTACCCCCACCAAACCTGTCCACTTCCTGTACGCAGTTTCAGGCGTAACGTTCTCCCCGACGTCTGTAGACATATGCTCTTCCATCCCCTCGACGGAGGAGAAATCTTGATTCGTCGCTGAACCAGACATCTCTTCATCGCAATTGAGGCGATACCCTGTGTTGACGACATAAATGCAGTCGTTGTTGACGATGTTGTCGACTCAATATGACGTGTCGAACAAGGACGTCTTGCTCGTAGACCTGCTGCTCTTAAACGGTTTCGTACGGTCTGGTCGGATATCCTGCGCAGTCCGGGTATTTGGGATGCGATCGAGGTTGCTGTGGTCGCCCTGTCACGTAGGTGGTGCAGTCGGATGTAGCGATCTTTGGCGGGGATGGTTACTCTTGGTCGTCCCGACCTTGGCCGATCACGTGTTGGCCCATGCTGTTGAAACCGATCCCATAGCCTTGTGATGAAAACCCATGCTACAGCTGATCGGGATTCCCCTGCCGGCAAGCGTTGCTTCTTTGCACTTCTGTTAATCTTGGCATGGTGTTGAACTGTCACTGTTCGATTGACACAGATGCCAGGCAGTCAAAAACCCTGCACGTTAATGCCGTTCATAGTGCTGCTGCACGTGGAGTGCGTGCAGCTCTATGGTCATTTTGTTAATGCACTGCGTGCGTTTTTCCGAATCGTACGTGTTTCCCGACTAATGTCCTTGTTGTGATCATTTTGATCCTGGACATTTGTCACTGACACAATAACGCATTAAACCTCTTCATTTTGCACCTCTTGGACCGCTAATTTTGCTTATATGGCCCAAAATATCCGTATTGCATTTCTTTTTTTTAAGAGTATATTTTAGATATATAATTTATATATATGAAGGGCTTCATGTGTCAGCTGTTGTAGAAATGGTAGGACAATCGGACCAAGAATGTCATCCATGTGACGTTGAGCTATCAATTTTCCGTTAACGATGACCAGTGGTGTTTTCTCCTGCCCTCAAATTCCTCCCTACACCATAATACCCCCTCCACCATACAGCACGACCTCCAGAACATGCCGTTGTTCGTTCTCCCTTCTTCATTCAGCGCTGGAACAGACAGAACCGGCTTCCATCAGTGAAGACGACCCACTTCCAGTCACGTCGCTGCCAACGACGTACAGTCCGGGCCCATCTCAATCTCTAACGACGATGTTGCGATGCCATTAACTGTCCTCTGTAAGGTCTGTAAGCCCGAATTCCTTGAGCCCCGAGTCGCCTGGCCACTGCCTGTCTACAAGCCATATGCCCAAAAGCAGTCGTTGCTGATGACGTCACTGTCAGGAATCGATACCGGAGATGCATAGTACGCAAGTACCGGTCCTCATTGTGCGTAGTTACCCTGAGTCTGCCTGTCCTTGGCCTTTCTGATGCCTGTCCGGTCTGCATGTAACATTACATCAGGTTAATAACAGCAACACGGGAGCAACCGAAAGTTCTAGCAATGTGGGCATGGGTGGCTCCCACCCGTATCATATCCAGGGCTCGCTCGCGTTGTTCGGGTGTCAGCCGTGGCATTTCTGCGATGGTTTTGTATCATCGTGATGTCAGACATGCCTTCCGTATCATTTATAAATGCAATTTTACTAGAGCTGGCGGGGTACACCCATCCCTGTTGTTCAAACAGTTTTCAGACCCGTGAAGATAGAGTAGAATAGGTCTTCAGCAACCCATGATTGCCATAAAAGGCAACTATGCTTGTCGTAAGAGGCAACTAACGGGATCGGATAGTCAGGTTCACTGACTTGGTTGATGGATGTAATCGTTTTTGTGTGGATCAATGCTCATGATATCAGTCACTGGATTGTGCAGAGTTGAATTGCTGAAGACCAATTCTAACCCGGATCTTCACGAATCGAAAATAGAATTAAGCTGTAATGCACTTGACATGTTTTCGATGACGTCTGTTGTACTACAGATAACATTGGGAAATAAAAAGGAGGTACTAAAGCATCACTGTTTGAACATTTTAAGTTATAAGAAAAGATTTTTGTTCTGATGTGGCCTCGCGTTACCAAATAATGCATAGTCGCCATTCACGTCAATTCAAATCGCATGACTGCTCAAAAGGACATTTTATTAATCAAGTGAAACTTTTAGAATGATTAGATATGTACGTTTGAAGCATCTATTTCCTTCTGTCTATTATTAACCCTCAGTAAAACGGAGCTAATTACTCCAGATCGTGGAATTTAGAATAGCCATGTCCCCTGTAAGCTCTCCTGGTCGCACGAGGCGACTTAATATATCGGATGGACTGACACAGTTATTTAGAGGCCGTCGTAAAGTGTTGTCAAACAATTGGTAATACGTCCGAAATATTGGGGGAGGTTCATCGCGTTTGTAACGATCGCCAGTCAACTTACAAATGGCCCAATGTCTAAATAAAAAAATAATCTTATCTTATGAGATAATACATTGTAGGACCCCCACTGTCTATTGTTTTTTGTAAGATAAAATGATGTCTCAAAACGACTTTTATGGTCAAAGGGAGATAATCGCGTGAGGTTTACTAACTTTGTCCAGCTCCTCACCCGTTAGCCGACCCCTCTATGCTATAGCGATTTGTCATGGCCCACGGACGTATATACACGTCTTTGCATGGCCCCAGTTAACTTTAATCTTGACACAACGGGTTACCTATCACTCGCTGGATGCATGCTGAAATAAAAGTCGCCAAGGTTTGGTGTACCTGAACATTGAATCTTATTGTTATGATCCGAACCTTTTTGGGGGGTCATAATTTACAGTTGACTATACTTTCCCCATTATGTTTGACTAATTGTATCCCACCATGCACCGCTTGCCACAACTGCACCCCCAGTCCCCTTATCGAGGCCACCACAAAATCTCCCTGCACGCACCACCCCGAAAAGTCTGACCGCATGGGGCAAGGATTTTATGACGCTTCGTGCGGTTTGGTCACACCCCCTAACTCTACTATTCGACATTCATATATTTAAAAAAAATAAAATAATAATAATAAAATAACGTGTATAAGTTCTTCCCGATCCGAATCATGTTGTATATGAAATATGCTTAATGATAAACTAATGTAGTGTTAGTACTGTCTTAAGAATTGATGCATTGAAGCTTTATACAACGTGCACCCTTTATGATCGACACTTCTGTAAATGCAAACCAATATTGAAGTCAATTCTTTAAAAAATGGTTAAAGTGAACTGGAGGCTATGCGTGTCACTGGATAGTCTTCTCAAAATAGCCTTCGAAGATAGGGACATAATGTCATGTAGGTTTATCGAAACTAAGGCAAAATCATTTGCTTGGAAAACAATCAAATGCCGTGGAATTACTTGCACGTTTATTAATGATAAAATCACTTTAAATGACAAATTCATCCAGGATGAGTCTTGTTAAAAAATACCCTTAAATATTGAACTAATCCAGTTTGAGTATCTCTTCTTTGGGCCTAAGCAATACTTTGATATACTTTCAACCGCTCTGTTAAGGTAGTGCTTAGGCTTAGACAGGCTTCATACCAACCTTGGAGTGAGTGAGTGAGTGTGTTGGGTTTAACGCCGCTTTTTACAGTATACCAGTTATATCACGGCGTGTCAGCTTAATGTGGGAGGAAAGTCCGATTTGATGCAGGCCTCAGACGTTTACTACTTCGGTGAAACCCACGAGCACGAGCACGGGCATGGTGCTGACAAACCTAAAAACATAACCGGGGCGAACCGGGATTCGAACCCACAATCATAGGTTTCTGGCGTGCCCAAGAGACGCAACTCTGCACAGCGAATCGCAGCGCCTTAGACGACTCGGCCACCCATGCCCCCACCAACCTTGGACAAAATAGGGTTGGAGGTGGGTTCTTAGTTTAAGTGGGGTTTTAAGGTTAGATGGGTTAATTATACAAATGTATACTTTAACTAATAGCATTATTTTCATTTTATAGTTTTGCATGTTTAGGAAGTTTTTCAGACTGTACAAATAGGGTGCTCAAAAAATTATTCACTTTGCAGAATAGTTTTTTTGTATCACAGATATATTCGGGTGGGAACATGCAGTTTGGGGACAGAAAAATAAATGAAAATAACATGGAAAACGTCAGTGAATAAATTATCATTTATTGTCGAAACAGAGACCACAACTCCCACTCTTTTCTAAGCTTTACGGTAGTTATTGCAAATGCATTTCCCAAGGCGTACGTTACAGAATAACAGCCCATGGTCAACTGAAACAAAAAGGCCAAATTGATTTTAGTCCCACTTGAAAACAGAAGGTAAAGAAATTGTCCTAAATTTCTTTACATTTGTGCTCCCTTGACATTGTTGATATAACTGCTACATTTAATTGACCTGAGTGTTTGTTTTGTTTATTCATCTTTTAATAAAGCGTGGTTGTTTACCCGGAGTTACTTTATGCCTCAATGGAATAGAGACAGTTTCAATTTGTTAGGATGTATTCAGAGAAATTACACAGAGAATTATGGATCTACGTAGAATGAGTTGATTTTATATGTTCAAGGGTCTTTTAACATTCTTACCCTAGGGACAGACGTAGTTATAATATCAACATTATTGATGCCTTATTCAGTGACAGGTATGTCAGTATTTAAAAGTAGGAAAATGTAATCTGTAACATTTAAAAAAGAATTGATACTGATATGTATGTTAACAGAAATTAGAAATGTAAAACTGTAGTTGCATGTTTATGCTCAGATTTACACCTAGAGAATGAAACTTTGTTGCCTATTGAGATATATTTAATACGGAACAATTCCTTTACAGAAAGAATATACACATTTTACTTTACTAAGATAAATATATCCCATGTTCGAAATAGTGTGACCAACAGAGTCTTCCTAATGATATTTAACTTATTGAATTAGTTGTACTGACAATACTTTTATCGTCTTACCCATCATTCCATAACTTCCGGTCCTTCACTTCCGATTTCCGTATTTGTCAACATTTCAGTTCAAGAAAGCAGAGAATGTGAAATTACCAGCCTCTTATTTTAGATAGTGTGAAGTAGTAGCACATTTACAATGGATCTCGGTAGTCCAATGAAAAGTGAGGAGAAAGAAATGAGCTCGCCTCTGAAGAGGAGCCATGAAGACAACCCACCAGACACAGATATATCGCCGGTCAAGTCGTCGGGCGAAACTCCGGAAAAGGAAGGGAAGCATTCAGATGGTAGATTGTCTTCGGAGTCGCCGCCAGATAAAAAGAAGAAGGTTGAAAATGAAGAAGAGAACACACATAACAAACAGAAAAAAGAAAAACAAGAGGAAGAAAGACTGAAAATGCAGTTAGTTTCTTCTATGAATCTTTAGCATTGAAAATATTGACTACCAGTACCACAGACACTTTGGAGTCATGGTCATGTCTTGACAGTAGGACCCCGTCGCGGATCTCGGTTATCCGTTCCAAAGACTATATAATATATTCTGTATTTTATACCCGTTAGGAAATGTAGACCTAGCATCAAGTTGTTAATGTGCAAAGGTGTAAATTTCAAAGCTGGGTTTGCATAAAACATGTACAAATAAATAAACAAAATTGCTGAAACCTGATATCAACTGTTATACCATTTCATCCTGCTCTCTTGACATTTTTGTGTGAAGAATAAATACAACTGAAAATTGAAAGCAGTATGCGACAAGTGCATTTATTTGCACATCTTGGCTCCCATGTTTTAAAATGTATAAGAAAAGGGTACAACCCCCTTAAACACCCTGCACAGCTCTTACTTATTGTTGTGATTGATGGATTTATTTGAAAAGATGTCCCATGGTCGATCGTGTTTGGGTCGGCTGAGTTTGGAATTGTACAATGTCAGTTAACTATCTAATTAACTGCATTCCTGCGCATTATAATGAGAATTAATGAATAAAAAAAATATGTATCAGTTCCCATTTATAATCCCTTTAGCCTCATGAATCAAGTTTGAAATGAAACTATTTTGAAAATAAGAATGATATAAACTGGTACTTGCTATAAACAAAAAAATACACTGCTGCAGGCTCTCGTAAACAAATATTGAAAACTCTCAACATCACTGGGCATATTCAGTGGCATTGCTTATGGAAATGACAGACCACTGTGAGGAGCTTATGCATGCTCGATGACCTTGGCAAGCCTGTTATTAAGCTGAGGTCACACATCATTGTTTTGCCAGTGTATCTTGTACCAAAATTTTACAAATTATGTCATAGGGTATTAAAATTATAGTGCATGTTTATGGTGCTTTTTCCATGCTGAAAATAATGCTTGAAGCTCATTATTATCCCGAATTTCAATCTCAGGGGTGTATGCAACCCAAGCTGCCAAGCATTAATGTGAAGTGTTAATAGATTTGTGGTGCTAATTCTAAATGTAGGCCAATTATTGTTTGGCCAGAATGTTTTCTTTGCCAATTGATCTGACACTATCTTGCTGTGAACATGATTACTGTCAAAGAGATTTGCTGGAACACTGTGAATTTATACAAATGTTGGATCGAATAGAAAAGGAAAAGTATGAGCAGTGAAACCTTTCTCTAATTACAAATGAAAACGCGAAATGTCCATTGTATGGTGGCAACTTTTTTAACAACAAAAAAAGCCTTTGCACATACTTTCTACAATACCAAAAGTTTGAAACATTAATCTGCTTCCATTTTTTTATCCACAAAGCATAAATAAGAAACACTTGCACATGTTAAGCAAAAATGTTAATGTTAGGTGTTAGGGTGAAAGATATGGGTGTTCGTATAACCTGTCAATACTTTTGAGTGTGATTAACCTTCACGTTCAGCAGCTGTTAAATATGATGAACAACTGTTTCAGAGTGCTGGTGTCCAACTTCTCCGAAGACCAGCTCAACAGATATGAGATGTTCAGGAGAGCTGCTTTCCCTAGAGCAGCAATAAAAAGGGTAAAACACCTTCAATGTCCTGCTTTTTCTGTGTACATGTTTGCAATCTCATTAAAATCACATCTAAGTTCTCGCTGCTGCTAAACAAAGATCTGAGGACATCCTATTACAGGTCACGTCAGAACGACCTTTTGTGAACTTTGACCGACCACTGAATTGACTAACAAGAAGTCGACATTCTCGTTCTCGAGCTTTACTGCACTCATTTCCACCTTGCGACTTCCATTTCAGACTACGCTTGAAAAATATGTTGACACAGTTCTCGATTAAAATTTTGAAAACTGAACAAATGAACATTCTGGAATGTCTAATCTATGGTTGAGTATGTATGGAAGTGCTTCCCATGTACTGTGCAACGCCTCCTTCATTTATGTGTTAATCCCACGGAAGTTAGAGATAGACAATAATTTTGATGGAGTCAGTCGTAACTGTTGTTTGGAATACCCTATGTTAACATTTTCGAGGTTGCATAAGAAAACACATTGCGACTGTCACTTTCATGATCTGGTAAGCGACGCTTTGATTGGTCAGATGAAAGGTCATTCTCACTGCCTGTAATAGGATGTCCTCAGATCTCTGTTTGGCGATAGCGAGAACTAATATCTGATTTTAATGAGATTGACATGTTCGTGTATTGTGTACATGTTGGGTGACTTAGGTGACTTAGCAGATTGGGTGGTCAGGTGACTTATTAATAGTGTCACTTTACACCTACAGGGTGGACCATTGCTCATATAACCAGTCACTGGATTGTCTGGTCCAGACTCGATTATTTACAGAAAGACATCATCTACCTGGAATATTGCTGAGTGCGGCTTTTAACATGTTTTAAATTAGTTAGGCTTTGACTGCGGTGATGGTGGAGGTTTGTAATCATGCATGGTGGAAGAAAATACAAAACAGTTCTCCTAGGCATTGTTTTATATGCTGAGATTAAGATTAACTTAAATTTGTTTCAAGGCGTCAATAGTGGTAATCTTACTGTTTGCTGTAAATAACAGTGAGTTGTGCAATCTACCGATCACTTCACACAAGATTTCGCCGAAATATATGTTGACATTGTTAAATGAAATTTTGAATAAAACTCGTACATTATATTACAAACATAAGCACAATGAACACGTTTTTATAACCAGATAGTAAAATAATGGGATTATATTGTGTACTTGTGTATTTGTTGACTGGTGTTTCTGGTGTTACGGGATCACGGTGAGCTGTTGATAATGGTTTTTGAGATGTGGAAAAACATTGTCAGTGTAAAACTTGAATTTATTACAAATGTAAGTAAATTTTGAGAGCCATCAGTAACTGCATGCTTCAACCGTATTAGCGCTATATTGAAGGGCTCAATAGCAAGGGAACACTGCACTATGTATTTGTGATGGAACTTTGCACACCATAAACCTTATGCCACGGTGGTAGTGCGCTTCCTCAAAATAACAAATTCACAACTCACACTGAGTTGTGAATTTGTATTTTTGAGGAAGCGCACTACCACCGTTGAAACCAACGATTGATTACTTTATTTTCAGAACTTAACTAAAAATGGTTCGATCTTTCTTTACAAAAGTCAGCAAAAATTTCCATGTCTTGAAAGTGGACGAACAATTCTCAATCTGCTCATGATTGTCTGGTCCATAATCGATTATTTTACAGACCGCTCTCAAATAGCTGGAATATTGCTGTGTGCGGCGTTAAACAACAAACCAACCAACCAATTCTCAATCTTTTTTGTCAATGTTTCTGTTTTATTAATTGTTTTATTATTAGGAACCAAATCTGCTTTAGTTTGATTTGCAGTGAATACATAAGAAATGCTTGTTTATGGGAATATCATTATTTTATTATTATCATGTTTTAAATATGATGCAAAACAGTTGTGTACTTGAGGAACATGTATGGTTAGCATCTCCCATCCCTGAAGTTATCTCCCCTTGCATGTAAAGTGTTTTGAATCCACACAGTTTCCAATTTCAAGATGTGCTTTAATCAATGGTTTGAATCAAGCAGTGGTAATTCTTTTATGTTACTGAGCTTTTATGTACAGTTGAAAATTAAGATTAGGTGTGTAACTAAGTCAGAGTTAGTGTACCAGTGTTAGTCATTCTTGGCCATTTCTCAGCATACTTAGAGCTGGTAGTTTTTGACTTTCTTGTGATGGTACTGTAATTGATCTGATAATACAAACAGTCTTAATATACTCACTGCTATGATTTGCATTTGTTTCTATTCAAATGTCAACACAAGATTTGAAAAAAAAATGGAATTCTTGTTTGACGTTATCTCTTGGTTCATGTTTAACCAAGACAACACAGTTGGCATTGAGCTGGTGTTATTCTTTTTGCTCTCACACATTCCTGTTTTACTGGTTGAATGTAGTATATTATAACAGCGTTGTGATCAGCGATACTTGAAGACATCTCACTGTTGGCTGCAGCTACCATAATCCCCCATTCCTTCATTATCTATACCAAGTTGGTTTCTGTGGCAGTACTGGGAGCTAGGGAGGAGACACGTTAGCAAAGTGTGCAAATGTGTTCAAAATACAGGTTTTATTGACAATACATATTTTTTTTTCTTTCTTTTATTGTTTTTAGAAAGACGCACCTGTTACATAAATGGGCTTCTGCCCAGGGTAGCAGAAAGCCCATGACATAAAGCACAACTTATCAGTACATCTTACTTTGTTTGTTTTTTTACAGAAAATAACATACTTCTCACTCACACATTCACTCTTGTTTATATATCATATTGCAGTTTAGGAAAGTACATGGTCTCAAACATTAAAATCTTAAGTACAAAACTAAAATTAAATTGAAAGCTGCTCCTCATTTTCGAAAAGTTGATGTTACAGCATCCAAGCACCATAGAATTTCTGTTGATTACCTGTCTTGAAAGCAATATCTTTTTCAATGTTGTAACGTGAAAAAGCTTCCTTTTTATAAACATGAAAATAAGGTTTTGTATTTTGGAATTTGCATCTATAAATATAGTATTTTGCAATTAGTAAAAGTAAATCAAACACTTTATCTGTTTTTATGTTCTCTTTAACTACAAAAAGTATCAATTCTGCACAAAATGTCATATTATAAACATGAAAGCACTGGTCGATCCACAATGACACTTCATCCCAAAATTGTTTTATTACATCACATTCCCAAAACAAGTGAGTAATTGTTTCCTTTTCATTGTGACAGAAGGAGCACAAATCATTCTGAGCATAATTGAGTAAATACAGAAAAGTATTAGTGGTGAGAATTCTGTGGGTAATTTTGTATTGAAACCATAGCAGTTTGACATCCTGTGTTGTACTGAAAATTTTATTATAAATATTGTTCCAATTTAAGTTTTCAAATTGTAATTCCCACTTTTCCTGCCCTTTAGTTTTTACTTCTGTAGAAACCAATGAAAAATAAATATGTTTTGAACCGGACTTGGAACTACAAATAGTTTTTACCACACAGCGCTGATCCTCCACAGAATGACAATACATATTGTTGGAAACCCTGTCTTCTTCTTCAGATTATCTTTAGATTATCTTCTTTATTTCATTGACCTTTGAGGGGCGGTCGGGTAGCCTAGTGGTTAAAGCATTCGCTCGTCACGCTAAAGACCCGGGTTCAATTCCCAACATGGGTACAATGTGTGAAGCCCATTTCTGGTGTCCCCCGCCATGATATTGTTGGAATATTGCTCAATGCGGCGTAAAACCAAACTCACTCACTCATTGACCTTTGAATTGAAATTAAATCAAATTAAAACTTGTTGATGTTGCCACCTTCCAAGGAAAATCATTTTGATTTAAACAGTACCTGTTCATGTTTTAAAAAAATTGAATGATATTAGCTGTTTATGTACAAAGTGTGAAGTTGCTGCTATAGATGACGTACATGGTGTAGATCTGTTAGGACGACTTGATTACGTTGATTAGTAGACAGTAGGGCTTTATCATATATCTGAAAACTTAAAGTAACTGGTACCTTTATTCTCAACAAATATGTGAAAACTCCCCAGCAAGGCTACAATCATGACAATACTTTGGTAAGTCTAGATTTCTTCAGTTTCAGGAAAGGGACTGGGATAGCCTAGTGGTTAAAGGGCCAAAGCCTTGGGTTCAAATCCCTGCATGGGTACAATGTGTGAAGCCCATTTCTGATACGGTGATATTGCTGGAATATTGCTAAAAGCGGCGTTTTACCATTCACTCGGGAAATGGAGACATTACCTGAGCCCCTTTCTTTTATATATCAAACGACCATTTACACAAAAATATCAACATAACAACTGTACAGGTTTCATGTAGATTCTGTTTTCCTGTTTCAGCTGATGCAGTCTATCACAGGATCCTCCGTCTCCCAGAACGTGGTCATCGCCATGTCGGGTATTGCCAAGGTCTTTGTTGGAGAAGTTGTGGAGTCAGGTACTGTAGGCTGGGGAAAGCGGTTAATTCAACATCCAGCGTACTTCATTGTTAGTTGCCAAAACTTGAAATTAACTACAGTCTTTGTGTCTGTGGACAAGTGACCTTAAATACAGAGTGCAGAGTTGTGTCCCTTGGGCACGCCAGAAACCTACTTGAATCCTGGTTCTCCCCAATGATGTTTCTAGTTTTGTCAGCACCACACCCATGCTCATGGTTTTCATCCATATTAAGCTGACACGTTGATATGATGGGAATACTGCTCAAACAGCATTAAACCCAACTCACTCACTCACTATATCAGGGAACAATCCTTTCGAATAATGATAACATGTCAAAACTAAGAAATTTCAACTTGCCTAGAGGATACCTTTTTATTGGATATACTTGAGATAGTAAGGAGATAATGCTTTACCTTGGTGGCCATTTCCTGTCTAGGTTCTGATGTTATGAGTGCAGGGACACCAGAAATGGGCTTCACACATTGTACTCATGTGGGGAATCAAACCCGGGTCTTTGGCGTGACAAGCGAACGCTTTAACCACTAGGCTACCCGACCGCCCCAGATATACTTGACTAGGGAGACAATGCTTCACTGCTTTGTGGCCATTTCCAGTCTAGGTTCTGATGTTGTATTATGTGCAGTGTTTGACGTTTGACACTGTCTCTGGGTCATTAGGGTCAGTGTTATCTGTTAGATTGATATACATCATGTGAGTTGGCAGAAGGGCAGGGACAAGTCCACATTTACAACCCCACCCCACCCCACCATAGAAAATAATAATATTTATGGATTTAATCAGCTTACCTAGGACTGCCATTTGGCCTGGACTGAGTTTATTTATGGTCAGTTCCTAATATTCACCCTGCTGTTGTGTCTGTTCCAGCACTGGACGTAACGGAGCAGTGGAATGATACCGGACCACTGCAACCCAGACACCTTCGAGAAGCAGTTCGCAGACTTAAAAACACTGGACTTATTCCTTCATCTAAGACAAAGAAAGTCTTCTTTCAGCCATGACACATGCAGGACCTTATTGGTTAATCTATCAGGAGGAACTTCAGCCACTATTAAGCACATCTAGGATGGGATGTTATTTCCCCCACAACTAATGTTGATTGTGTCTCATATGTGAAGTGTTCTGCTGAAACATCATCTTGTGTTTACATGGTAAACTGGACATAGTAGAGGGTGGGCCATTAGTTTTGAGAAAATAAATGTAAGTATTGATAGAAATTTGTGTATTTACAAAACAAGTACACTTAATATTAATTTCAAAATTAGACCGCAAATGATTTTATTTTCTCTTGGTGGGTCACCATGGTGAGTACACAGTAATGGAGCTCTGTGTGTGTGCATGCGTGAGATTGATTGATTGAGTTATTGAGTGATTGGTTGATTGAGTTATTGATTGATCCAGCTGAGTGATGGTGGAGGCATAGGTCGACACGGAGGAGAATAATCTGTTGTGGTACTTCAGGATACCTCAGGTGCGTGTGTATGGAGTGCATGTGTAGATCCAGCTGAGTGATGGTGGAGGCGTACGGTCTACATGGAGGAGAGCAAGCTATTGTGTTACATCAGGTTACTTCAGGTGCATGTGTATGGCGTGCGTAGATACAGTTCAGTGATGGTGGAGGCGTACGGTCTACATGGAGGAGAATAAGCTATTGTGTTACATCAGGTTACTTCAGGTGCGTGTGTATGGCATGCGTAGATACAGTTCAGTGATGGTGGAGGCGTACGGTCTACATGGAGGAGAATAAGTTGTTGTGTTACTTCAGGATACTTCAGGTGCGTGTGTATGGCGTGCATGCGTCGATCCAGTTCAGTGATGGGGAGGTGTACGGTCTACATGGAGGAGAATAAGCTGTTGTGTTACTTCAGCTACTGGACATTCTGGAAACAAACATTGTTAGGTTGGTGAAAGTCTTCTGGAAATGTATTGTTGTTTTGTCCAGAATAAACTGACTTGTGACAACATTGTGCTTCTTGATATATACTTTCTCTAGATGATGGTTGTGCAGTCTTTGAGGTTCTTATGCAACTACTGTGTAGTGCTTGTATGTAGCATGCAAAAAGAACTTACAAGTTGCCATTGCAGCAACGTCATCCCTGAGTACGTACAGTTGCTTGCGGTGTAGCCGCTGTTGTTAACAAATCAAATTATGCTCTGCTTCTAGTGAGATCGACAACAGCTAGTGTACAGACACAGTATAACATCATTTCATAAATTCACTAAAAGTAGAAGCACATGTTTATACACAGGTGATAGAGGGATGTAGTGTATATAAGTTTCATCAACAGAATCTTCAGTACATCACTAAGATCACAGTTCTTTATTTATCTTACATGGTCAATGTATCTTTCCTAACATTTCATGATGTATTAGCTGGGTACATCAGAAAAAAGAAGTTTTCAGACTGCTTCGAGGGGTGATTGGTATGTTCTGAATCTCACACAGAAGACTTGACCTAAAGACAAAATGTTTTATTTTTAATACCGGTATTGTCCACTTCCACATTGATAAACCTTTGTCATTGATGTTGGAGGGATTTTGTCCCAATTTCAAGGTAAGTCCTCTTGGCTGTTGAAAACGTTGAGACATCATCGTTCAAGTCCAAATGGGTTCCGGTTACAACTTTCTTCATGTTTGGGAACAGATTGAAGTCTGACTGAGCTAGATCAGGAGAATATATGGGTATTGAAAGAATTCAAAGCAATCTTGTGGATTGTAGCCATGATTTGTGCACTGGAACATTGTCCTGATGGAAGAGAACACCTTTTCTCTGCTTCCCAAGTCTTGTAGTCTTAATTTTATCCCGTAATTGCCACAAACATGCAGTATTATATGCTCCATTTATGGTCTGGCCTTTTGGAAGATAGTCCGCCCTCGGCTTCCCAGAACATGGGGGCCATCTTTCCAGCACCTTTGCCTTCTTTGGTGGTGGTGGTCAACTCTATCCACTGTTTTGATTGTTGTTTGGACTCAGGCTGGAAGTGGTGAACCCAGTTTCATCAAGTCACAAATCATTGCAAGATTGGCCTCAAAGACTTTTTTATCAGATGTCAGAAGCTTTGAACCCAACAAGTTGATACTTACATCATTGCCAAAGCTTCTGTGATAATGGAATGTCCTCTCTCCCTGGGAAATGCCGACTGAACTAGCAATATGACACACAGTCATTCGACGTTCAATCATCACCATGTTGTTGATTTCCTGAATCATATTTGGTGTTGCTGTCATCACAAGTTGTCCAGGATGGGAGTTCCCAACAAGACTCTCTCTGCATGCACTTAATTACAGTGGCAGAGGGAGGGGCATAGGCAGGGGTGGTGGACAATCTCATTAAAATCAGATCTTAGTTCTTGCTACCGCTAAACAAAGATCTGAGGACATCCCCCTACGGGTCACGCCAGTTCGACCTTGCGCGAACTTTGACCGACCAATGGAATGACCAATCAGAAGGCAGCTTTCTCGTGTTTTACGGCACTAATTTCAAATTGGCGACTACGCTTTGAAACATATTTTGTCAAATTCTCGATTACAAATTTGAAACCTGAACAAAAAACATTCTGGAATGACTAATAGATGGTCTCGATGATAAGGATTCAGTCGTTAAACCCGTAACTATCGTTCGGAATACCCCATGTTAAAGTTTTCGAGATTGCATGATTAGAAATCACTTTCCGGTTGTCACTTTCATAATCTGGTAAGCGACGCACTGATTGGTCGGATGAAATGTTGTTCTGACGTGACCTCTAATGGGATGTCTTCAGATCTTTGTTTAGCGGTAGCGAGAACTAAGGTCTTATTTTAATGTGATTGGGGTGGTGGACTTCCTCCCTGCATGCTACTCAAGTTTGTCCATTTTCCAGAGGTCACAGATTTATTTTGGTATACCTCTATTAAGAATCTTGCAATTCCATTGGTTAATCCATACCATATGTGACGAAACAATTCATTTCAATGTAGACCCTGAAACCATGTGACCGACACTGACCTCTTATATTTACGCGTCACATGATCAGTATTGACCTGTCGCGTAATGAAATTGACCCGTCTGCTTGAAAACAGGGGGCGGGTCATTGGTTCCTATTTTGGCATATTGACCTTGTCAAGAGTGATTATTTGTATATTATTGACTTCAAAATGAAATAATTTGCTCAGATGACTCAAATTGGTTTCACTGTTATACAATTCCTTCCATGTGAGGCTCAAAACCTTTCAATCAACCCTTGTACTCTTATTTGGAGCTGTTAGGTGGTAGACGCCGCTGATCGGAGACTAAAATTATCGACTGGTCAGAATTGTGAGTCAAATTGTTGTCCCTAAGCGGCTGGGTAACCGAGTGGTCAAAGTGTTGATTCATCAGCCCAAGGTTAGATAACCCATATGAGCACAATATTTGAAGTCGTCGTTGTGAACTGAGGTCTGTGTAAATGCTGACAGCATATTTATTTTCTTGTGTTAGTGCCCTTGACAGCCTTTGAAGTCGATTGCAGTTGGCTAGCCCAGGACCGCTAAATTCAAGAAAAGCTCCAATGATAGTTGACCTCATTGACTAGTTGTATACCAGCTATAATTCTGAACCAGTCCTCAAGCTTCAAAGGGGCAATCAGGTAGCCTAGTTGTCAAAGTGCTTGCTCGTCATGCCGAAGACCCGGGTTCAATTCCCGACATGGGTACGTGTGAAGCCCATTTCTGGTGTCGCGCACTGTGATATTGCTGGAATACTGCTAAAAGCCACATAACACCATACTCTCACTCACTCACTCAAGCCTCAAAGGAAAAGGAAGTACATTTGATGAAACAAACACTTCCTTTACAAAGTGTTACTGAACTCAACAGTTATACTACCAATGTTCCTTTATGGAACCCTATCTTTTGTAGATCTTTAACATATGACAGACAACAAATCATTTGATAGGATTATTATTTTTATTCAATTCTCCCTCGGTATACATACATGTGCTTGGTGTGGAAGATAAACAACACAAAAATTACAATATCTTGTCGGAGGGGTTGGACCTGGCATAAAGACATATGGCCCTGGCTTAAATGTATATATGACAGAATTCAAATCGTTTGTTATCCCTGACAACAGAGGTGTGGCGAGTAAGACTCCTTCCAATATTTCACATCAAATATCTGGATTTGCTCATCGTAAAAGAACTTAATCATAGGTGCAAGGGAGAAGGGTCATCCACCTTTCACAAGCACCTGACACCTCAGTTCAACCAAATTTTTAAATATTTGAAGAGAACAGAAAGCACACATTTGTAGAAACTGTTCAAACACCCAACACGGCACAAATGATACGCAGTGTACACAGTCAGGTTTTTCTCCATCACAAATTAAAGGAATCATTGATGTTTAAGAAAACTATACTACTCAAAACAAGTTATGGATCATCTGATCCTTTCATGCAGACAGATTAACTATAGCAATATGAAAGCAGGTGACCCTTGGCTTCTTTTGAGTAGTATAAAAGCTTGATATCAATGTATTTTCAAGATGTGTAGTTAATTAAGAAAAAAATACAAGCCAAGATTACCATGTAGGTATCTCACCTTTCTTGAAAGTGTTCAAGTCTACGAACCTGTCTTTGATCTCTTTCTATAAACTCATGCATGTTGTAATATTAAGAATTTTATAATTATGTGTACTTTTCATAAAACATTGAAACCCCAGGTACATTCACCTATTCATTCTGACCAACATTTGCCAATATTGACCTTATCCTTTGAGTATAGCTAGCCTTAGTTTTGGCAACATGTTTCATAACTGTCAGAAACTGAGACTGTATCCAATGCACGTCTTTTCCTTCAAATTTACATATTTGGGTCAACAGGAAAATGAGAGCCATACCAGTTCATAATAAATATATGTACAAATCTTTAATGTACATCTATATGCATTCATGTTAAACTCACCACTACACTGAAAGCCCGTGACACAACTTACGATTGTCAGCAATGGTAATATCACTACATTTCTCACACGGTACATGTCTGTTCCACGCGAGGGCTAGGGTCACAGCAATTTTGAAAGGTTTCTCAAATTTATTAGGTGTTGTAAAAGTTACAAAAAGAAGTAAATACACCAGTTTGTGTTGCTATTTATTTCCTGCTCAAACATTAACAGAATATTATAATCCAGGAGTATTTCAATACATACATCCATCTCAGACAAAACACACACACACACCATAGTGGAGCCATATCATCTCAAACAGTCCTGGTAGGCGACACTTATTTTTATGCTTTGGTTTATGGATTGATAACCTGGTTGGAAAAAAAAGAAATCAGATTATTTTTGACTCCTTCAAGAATGTTTTCTGAATATGTTAACATGCACAAGCTCTTGCATTTTAACATATAGGATGGACTTTTTATCTTGAACATGTAAGTAAGCCTTAGACAGAATGAAAACTTTTCATTATAAGTATTAGAGTGGTGGACCCGTAAACCAATTCGTAAATAAAGTATCGCCTCATATTGGAGATGCATTGGTCAGACTCAACAAAATTGCCAGATATGATAATCTCATTAGTCAGGAGTGAGTGAGTGGGTGGTTGAGTATAGTTTTACGCCACTGTTAGCAATATTTCAGCAATACCACGGCGAGGGACACCAGAAATAGGTTTCACATACTGTATTCAGTGTTTGATAAATTGCCAGGCTACCACCAGGGCCCACTTGCACAAAGCGATCTTAGTGCTAAGATGATCGTAACTCGCTAAGATTGCTTTGTACAAGTGGACCCAGGACCCATGGACTTTAGAAGCTGCTGGCCCTGACTGAACTCTTCAGGCCCTCGTTTGAAACTGCTGCTTATTGTGACAAATAAATTGACGAAAATTTACTGCAGGCCACAAAAACTAATGACAATAGACACTGTGAACTCTTCCTTATCATAGCATGTGAAACAGGATGATTCTGAATGGACAACTTCACATGAATAGGACTAATATTTTTAGTCCACTGGTCCTTATAATGATAACATATAGCAAATCCCTTCAAAATGGTCTTTAGGATACCTTAACTTTTGAGCAGTTTGGCAAGGACTACAAGACCAGCGCCCATTTCTGATGCTGCTATATAAGTGAGTCTGTACTTAAATAACATCAACAAATAATAGTTTTAGATCAGGATCCTAAGTTCATGGAGGTGACAGCCTAGGGAAGTGACCAGTGACATTTCCAACGTTTGGAGACAAGGAGCATTGGTGAGATCGGCATCCACTGTTACCATAATGCCAGTACTGTCATGATAACACTTGCATTGTTGTTGCAGAAGAGTATATATGTACAAAAAAGGGCTTCTTGTAGACTGCACAAATACCAAGTGGTCCTGTCAGAAAAAACACATTTGTCTATCAGCACAAATATTAGTTGTGAAACAATATCTGATAGAATAAAAAAATGTTTGTTTATCACCAGACTCCAAACAATATTCTATGCAGGCCATTGTAAAAGTTCTGAAGACTATTCACTTATAGTTAATTGACTGTAACCATTGAAGCAAATACACAGTTCTTCTACAAGAAGCAAAATAATGTCCACCTGGACTGGCAAGCTAGACATCGTCTATTCTACGACTAGATATAAACCAACCAAATCAACATAACCATTACTAGCACTAACATACAAAGTTAAAATTGTAACCATGGAAACATTTCAAATGTGACATGCACAAAACACAACTTATTTTCCCTACACCTCTAATGCCAATTTGTGTCGTCTGACAAATTTGTTCTGGGTGTTAGTGCAAGGGACCATCTCACAAAACCCAGTATAAATATTTCAAAAAACTAATTGCCACACAACCATTGGAGACTTGTGTGTTTCACAATGCAGCAGTTTCAATAACTGTCAATTTTCAACTGGCTTTGAAACCAGAAAATGCAAAATGTTGTTTTGTGAGATTGTCCATCGACTTCTTTGGTTGACAAGTGATAGTTATCAAGAGAGACAAGGACAAAAGAAACATTCAACTAAAATGTTCAAAAACACAAAATTAAGATTATAGCATGGTCCCTGAACAATACAAGCTGAAAGGAGCACAATTCAAATGTGTGTTTTTTCCATCAAAGGGACAATGTACAACATTGTGTTCTATAATAAATATCAGAAAACAGAATACAATGAAATGTTTGAAAATGTCAGCAACTGTACGTTGGTCAGGAAAATTTGTATATATCATATGTAAAGCATCAATCCAAAACAAGCCTTGTTTTTTCTACCCATCTTTGCAACGTATTTTTCATACTTAAGAAATAAAATGCCAATTTAAATGTCATTGACCAAAAAGAGAATAAAATATGAAGAAGTTCATCGGTCCGGAGAACATTTTGAGAAGAACATGAAGGACTTGACCAAGACACATATTTCTTAGAATCTGTATCAAGCGTCCATTACAAGTGTTTGGAAGACTTACTTTGAAGCCTCAACCATTTTTAAGATGCAAAAAGCAACCCAAAAAATATGTGCAGTCTGGAGCTGATCTGGCTTTAGCCAACACTGCAATTGTTGGTGCTGAATAGACATATTTATTAAAAACACAAACAAACATGGACATGATTAATGTCACAGGGTTCCTGAGGGCAAGGACATAAACAGAATAATATTCCTGAAAATAGTTTACACAAACTACATAATATATAAACACATACAATGACGATCTAAACTGGTTTCCGAATGTGAAAAATCACACTAATATGAAGTGTGTCTTTGTAGAAATTTGTAGCGTGTTTGATAAATTATCATGTCTATCATTATTTCCGAATGCTAAAAATGATTCATGTTCTTCGAAATACATATTTTCCATGGTAAAATATCAGAACCAAAAGTACCCAGAGTACAAGAATGTACATCATTCAACAACCGTCTAGCACTAAAACACAAGAAAAACACTAATCAAATGCTGTCTGGATAAGTATTGCAAAAACATAAATAAGAAATTCACACGTGAAAGATCTGGTGTATTAAAATCATAAATATGTTAATGGTTCCACAAAATCACAAAGAAACATTTCAGCAAAACTTTGCATTGTGTATGCTTGAGGAAAAGCTATGCCAGAGAAATAAAAATCTTCAACATGACATAGACATAAATAAGCTAGATTCAAATACAAGCAACGGGATCTAGCTTGGCAGACGTCAATATCAGTACAATTAATGATTGTTGTCCCTATCCTACAGATGTATGTATGGCAGCTACAGCTATTTACATTCAACATCAAGGACACATTTCTCCATGAAAGCTAAAACAGTATCTCAATGGAACATAAAGCAAAGTTTCAAAACATCTGAAGTCCTCCGATACCGACGCTCTGAACCCACTGCCAAAGCCATTGTGGTGGAGACTAAAATATATCAACCTGCATCTTCCTGAGGCAAGGGAATTAACCCACTATAAAAGTCCAGATTTGGAAAATATCGGTTGCTGCTAAGTTGATAGTAGAAATGCTTTGCAAATCCTGCAATTGACTGAAATCTGCAGGGCAGTTAAGAACCGGATGTTGATTTCAATAGATTTTGTTTGTTTGTTGTTTAACGCAGCACTGACGGCGGTCTGTAAATAATCAAGTCTGGGTCAGACAATCCAGTGATTGATATCATGAGCATCGATCCACGCAATTTGCACCGATGACATGCATCAACCAAGTCAGCAAGTCTGACCACCCATTAGTTCAGCCAAAATATAACTCCATAATTCCAGCCTAGTTTGTCAAGGGTGGAAACTGGACTTTCATAGTCTGTTAACTCCCTTGCCTCGGGAAGATGATCTACCAGTTATTGGTGAACATGCGTTCATACTGCTTATAGGCACCTTGGAAGATTTTGATGTTTCAAGGAATAAAACAATGTTGTCTGAAGTTAACTACATTGATCCCTCGATATACCGCTGTCATCGCGATCCAAGAAACCGACCCTGCGTTCTAGGATGTGAATGTGCAGATACTGAATTGCCTGGTTCAGTAAAATATAGACTTGCAGATCATTACACAAGGAAATCAAGTAGTTGTATCTTAGACTAGAATCTAAATTCATTGTTTTCAAGCACCATGTCACTTTGTCCTACATCTAGATACGCTCAATAAATTCACTTACAGCTAATGGATGTAACCAACTTCAGTTGCTTGTGCACTGAAAATTTACATTTAAGAAAATAATCTGTGAAATTCTGAATCCAAGTTATCATATGATATGAAGATTAGTAAAGATTAGAAACAGCATACATTCAGTTGGTAGGTTTGTGCAGGAATAACCTCTCAGTTAATCAACAAACTTCAAAATTCCTTTCAACATAAACAATCATGTTAATTCTCAGTACATAGTTAGAAAACCATCGATACAAATCTTAATGCTAATTGAACACGCCATGAAACACCTGGAGGATGTATGCAAGATGGCGGAACAGAGGCTACAATCACTGTTTTGAAGTGTAAGTATATCGGTTGACTGGTTGACTAACTGACAGCACATTCCGGCACAACCTTGTAGGGTGGCAGAGTATGACTAGTAATATCATGACTTATCGCACCATCAAAGCTCGCCCACTCAAAAAAGGCAGAGTGGCCTTGGAAAGTTAAGTGTTGAGAGACCCCGTCATCAGAAATCACTGGTGTCCGCCATCTTGGGTTTGAATGAAGAGACGGGGCCTCCATGACTAAATGTGAACACATTATCATTGCCCTCCCAGTCAGTTCCCACTATCATATCTACACCTGCATTAAATATAATTATGGGGACATTTTTATTTGTTTCATTGCATGTATTGAAATAACCATCCTAAATACATATTAGTTGTCTTAAAACATGTCCTACTTTATCAAGGTTAAGAAATAAAAGAATTGGTTCTCAGGCAATGACTTTTGAAAATATAGTGTGGGCGGTGTTGTGTGTTTTTGTTTTGCTTGTTCAAACTGGTATGTAACCAAATAAACATTTGTGTACCATCAACCTGGGAAAGGGCCTCCCTACATAAACGAGCATACAAACTCCTATTGCCGACATGACCATAACACGAGATACATAGTACAACAGTGCGCATGTAAAGGGAAGTAACTATGTGCTATATTGGATCGCATTGTGTTGAAGTATTAGGATTTGTTAAATGTTTTGTTTTTAATGGAATAAAAAAAGAAACGTGTGGCAGACTTTATGATGATGCGGGGTGCCTGAGAACCAAGACTATTATTTTTTTTAGCCCAAATTAGTTAACAAATCTATCCATGTCATTGCAAAGCATAATTCAAAATTGTTCCCCTCAATGAACGTGGCTTGTCTTAGTTGAATTGAATGTATGCTTGGGTTCATAAAGACCTGTGTTTTCTTTAAACCATATGTTTTTAGATAATAAGTTCCACCCTACTTTTAAATTTGTGGTTTTGAGATCCAGTGGCGCTTCTTGATTCTGAACGTCCGAGTTTAATCAACATTCATCAACTCCTCCAGGGGACTGTCCACCACTGACAGGGATATTCCAAACTGAGCCGCATAATATGTCACCATGATAATAGGATGAGCAAACGGAACTGGTCGCACAAATTTGTCAACAGCAATGGTCAAGTCCGATATCATGAAACATATGGCACCAGCGCAGCTGCTAAGCTTGGTCCACGTCCATAGATCGTCGAAGAATCGGACCCGAGCCACGGCCCGCCAGCCCATGATGCTGATGAGGACGAGGTAGCCGCCCACCATGTACATCAAGATGCCCTCTAGGCTGGTCTGGAGGTGGTAGAAGATGACGCCCGACAGAACGGCAAACACCGTGCCAGCATACGGGTTGAAGGGACGCCAGCCGAATGCTCGGGCATACTGAAGTTGGGCGAGAGCAAACATGATGATGCCGGCTTCAAAATATGTCTTCTTCCATACGAGGAATGCATCTCCGAAACAGGAAAGGACGAGGCCGATGAGGATGCGGCGGGAGTAGCGGTAGTACTCGGAGAGGTTCATCCCATGCATCAGCACAAACAGGATGAGGGAGATGATGGGCAGGAGCTTCACGATGCAGAAGAAAATGGAAGATCGCTCCTCATCGCCAAACAATACAAAGTATATTGCCACTGTTTTGAAGAAGGGCACCAGCTTGGGCCCAACACTCTTGAGCTGAAAGTAGATGGAAAAGAACATGAATGCAAGAAGACTAGTGGATTAGAAGCATGGAACACTTAAGAATTGAAAATTGAGTTACTGAGGTGAGGTGAGGTGAGGTGAGGTGAGGTGAGGTGAGGTGAGGTGAGGTGAGGCGAGGCGAGGCTTAATGTCGCGTATAAGATTGTTGCACTTGTTTAACATGGATACCCTACTCGGACACATTATACTGATTCCAAGCCGACCAGTCCTTGTTTCATCTCTTTAATGCTGAGCACCAGGCAGGGTAACAAGAAGTACCATCTTTTTTTAACGTCTTTTGGTATGAGGCAGTCAGGGATTGAACCACCTACCTTCCGCTCTCTAGGCACGCTCTATCCCCTAGACCACTGAGGCGGTCACAAAATATGTGACAAAAAGCATAGTACACACAGTTTCATAAAATATAGAAAAATGACAAAGTAGAGTTAATTTATGGATAACAACTTCTTTATTTACTGTAAAGGCAACGTTTCGGTATAGATCCTTATACCGATGTCAAGCAAGGCTTGATCATTAATTATCTCTACTTTGGCATCCGTCAACTTCTAAATAATGCATATCAAACAATTTAATAAAAATATGAACAAGACTTATGAGGCGATAAGTTAAAAGCAGAGATTTCCTTAGAAATGTCCTTAGGGGATGTCCTTAGATAAAAACAACATATCCGAAAACCCGCTAGCACTAATTCTTCCTGCCTATTTCGATGAATCCATTGACTAATAGCCTTGATGGGTTTGCCCATTTGTTTCCTATTACAACTTGAATATAATATTTTGAAATATCTTTTCTAATACCAAACAAAATCCAATATGAAATAGAAACAGAAAAAAGTCTTGACCCTGAAACAGTATAGTACTTCCAGTTGCTCGGTCTTCCTTCCAACCAACTGTACGTGACCCCCAGAACATATTGACATGAGCAAATGTCAAGAGAAGACACAAGGTCACCTTGTCCTGGTCCAGCTTGTCAGTAAGATCGGATGAATGTATCAGATTGACTTTCTTAGCTAACACGGCCCACGTGTTCCGATACAAATACATGTTTATAATGATGCTGATGACAAGAAATAGGGAATAAACTGTTTATGATTCTGAGCAGGGATGATAAACAGTGGCCGCATGTGTTTAACTATTTACGTCAATGACTGCTGAAGATGGCGATGCAGTAACACAAAACAGGGGTCTGTGTCTAATGCCAACAGCTCAATGTTATTTGTTGGGAAATGAGATCATGTGACTTCACACCAGTTCTAACCATTCACTAGTATGACAGTATGATAATGAGTATGATGTACACTCTAAAATAATGTAAACACACAAAAAACATTCTTAAATTTTGGACAAAATAAAAAAAATGAATCCCATATAAATCCCTTAACTCTTGGCCTGTTTGTCTTCCTTTATAAGTGTTACGGTTACCAGCCGTAACAGTGGAACCCTGTTTATCTGGACACCTCCTTTATTTAAACCATCTGTACAACTGAATGTCTGAATCAGAGTTACCTCCCATGCCTTTGTACCGTCAGATCACATTCTTGAGCAAATATTGTGGTACCTTTGGTATTACATGAACATGGGGCTTGTTTTAACTGAGATAGCATGTCAGTATTATTACTTTCAGATCACAACTGAATGCAAATAGGAAATAAATTGATTAAACCAGGTAATGGTTGTGCATCCTTGTGTTTCTTTCATGCAAAAGGATTAGTCATCCAATGTTGGATGCTGAGATTCAATATTAAGAAAAACTGTTGATCAATGATCAGTGATCATTGCTTAAACTAAAGTCACCATTTGGGTCACACAACATGACAATCCTGATCCTAAAACCAGTCTTCAGGTTATAGGCAATTTTCATATACTTGTAATCATAGGAATATTTAATGCTTCAATTAACATAACATTTGCTACTTTGTGTGTTTTACAATCAGGCAGATGAAAATAAACAGAGAATATTTAGTGTTAGTTCTGGTCAGAATCAGCCATGAAAATAAAACTTGAAAGTCTTGCTTAATATTTAGATAATGAGTAATTAATTGAGCGTTGTTTAATGCAACCGTTGTTTAATCACTCCCTCATTAAAAGACAAGAAAATAAGAAATGACCTTCAACAAGAAAACCTGGTTACCATCTGGTCACAGAGAATAATGAGGTTAACACAATAGCTCAGTTTGAAGGGAAGGGGGATATATTTAGACACAGTGCTGACCACCGTTGTGGCAACAATAGCCTGGCAGACATGGCTGTTCTCCAGTGAGTCGGGACTATTTCCATCTTGTTTGTACTACTTAATTGAACGCGACATACATAGACACAATGACATTTCATAATGTCTTCCAATCAGAGCAAGTAATGTATGGCAATATGAGGCTGTATCAATATGTTCGGACAAATTAGTAGCCATACAATAATAGGTGGATCTTAATTCAAGTCAGAGTGAGTGAGTGATGTTTTCAAGCCACTTCTACCAATAATCCAGTCATTCTGATTTCACAATAGACGACCAATCAAATACTCATGATTGAAACAAGTTGTCTTGTCATCAGTGTTTTAATTGACTTTTCAAATACAACCAGACCATGTTGTAGCATGATGACTTCTTTCCCGTCTTTTCATTTAGAATATTTCTCTTCTAGCACTTCTAATCCTATTAAAAATATCAATGGATCAACGAGGCCCTCTTTTTGAATAAGAACCTATGCCAAAGTCAGAAGAGGCATTCTGATTTGTTGTTGATTTCAAGCTTGTGAATGAGAGGAATTCTTTGCTATGGTACTGATAAGGGAGATAGAGATAGTGATGCACTTTTGTTTGTTTAATGCCACACTCAGCAATATTCCAGATATATGACAACAGTCTGTATAATACTGAATCTGGACCAGACAATCCAGTGATAGACATCACGAGCATCGATCCATGCAGATGGGATACGATGACATGCATCAGCCACTTCAGCGAGCCTGACATCCTGTCACCTCTTACGACAAGCATAGTCGTCTTTTAGGACAAGCATAGTCGCCTTTTAGGACAAGCATAGTCGTCTTTTAGGACAAGCATAGTCGCCTTTTACGACCAGCATAGTCGCCTTTTACGACAAGCATAGTCGCCTTTTACGACAAGCATAGTCGTCTTTTAGGACAAGCATGGGTTGCTGAAGACCTTTTCTACCCCGGATCTCCACAGGTCTGCTACGGAAGTGAGTGTGTACGGGGTACATATCATATTATGTAGATATAAGATACATTGGATAATCGTGGATGATGACAGGGAACTTGAAAATAGGTCCAACAGTTGGTACCCATGTGGGGAATCAAACCCCAGCCCTTCACATGAAAAGTGAATGCCTTAACCACTTCACCACCCCATCGCCTCTACAAGCCACATACCAAGTATACAAAGGTCAATCTGACAGTAGTTCCCATCAGCAGTAAAAATTAATAGAGGTCATGGGGTCCATGAAGTTTGTTCCTGAGGCATATGAACAGGTTAAATTTTAAACTTTATTCATTGGGGTTGTGACAATCTTTTATTTTCATGCTAAATTTCAAACCCTGCTATAGCTGTGATGACCCAGCATGTGACAGGGGATAGTAAGCATGATGAAGCGCTCGGTAATTTGTAAGAGTGCGAGGTATTACCGATATTTCTGTAAATTGAAGTCCATTCTTTCCATGATATGTATCACAATATCATGTTTTTTAAGCGCGAAATATCGTGTGATTTCAAATAGCGTTTTTTATCATGGGTTTAATGTTATACACCTGGCAAATACATGTACAATTTAAATGTGGAGTTTGTCTGTGGCAGTGGTGTAACACCAAGTCATCACTGTCCTGGAGCTTGCATCCCTGCGTATTTACTGAATGAGTAAACATCATGCTGTTCCAGCATCTTGTTTTGTTCCATTTATGAACTTCAATTCCTGCACTGATGTTTCAAATTGCGTTCGATTTCAAAATTTTGAATTGTACAATATATTATGATACATATCACAGTACAGCCTTCTGCATTGTAAAATATTGTATTACACTTTAAAACTTCCAATACCCATCCCATAATTTGTCAGTTACTGAACTGGGGAGTCAGTGTACTACATTAACATATGGTGAATTAATCCGGTGAGTTACATCTTTTCTTGATTATGTGAGTGACATTTCCTCTCATGAATAATTAAAAATCAATAAAAAGGTCTCGGAATGATCCTAGTTGCTTAACAGCACATGTCTGGAGAAGATTGTAATCAAACTGTGCAATACTTTTTATCTACAAAAAGTAAACAACCTCATTTACTTGGGCAAGATGCTGTTCACAGAATATACAAAATATAGTGCCATCAGGTCTATGAAGTTGGAAAATCAAGTGATGACATAACTAAGACAGGAAGATCTAATTATTGTAGATAAATGTTCTGGTCAGATTATACAGATTCTATTTAACGTGTTTACAATAACTTAACACAAAAACAACAAAAACTGACTGGAAAAAGTAACAACAGTTTACAGTAATTCATTGCCATGTTACAAAATACATTTATAGGGCAAACAACCACTGAATTCCTAAACACCGATGTCATCAGTCAATGTAATTCACACAGTCACAAGGCAGTTCAAAGTCCACCTGTTGTGAATCAGGTCATATGACTGACGCAGTAAGTCATGTGCCGGGAAATTCAACAATAGGTGCATAATAGGAGGGGGCTGTGGGGGCTTAAATGTCATCCAGTCCAGCCAGCGATTATCTTGTGGAGTACTGTCTGAATATGTATTATCTCTCTACAAACAGAGACAATAAGGACAAATAATTAGGTCAAAGTAAAGATTTTGACCTTGTTTGAGCGTAGCTAGTTTCTTGATTTACTGCCAGATGTTACACTGCCTATGAATGGTTAGTATCAATATTGGTTCTGAATCAACTGGAAAATTAGAATGAAAACATTTACAGGAATTTGAGTAACATGTACAAAATATAAAACAATTTATTTATTGCTAGTTATTCAAGCAATGCCAGCTATTACTTTCCAAGAAGCAGACAAGGACGATAACAAGTAATAACAACTGAGTTGATAAGAATTCATGACAAATTTAGAAACATATTCACGATTTCTTGTAAATTGCTTAAAAATACCGAAAACAAAAAATACAGGGGAGATCAATTATCATATTTACATATACAGCACTTGCATATGGGGCCTCACCAGCTCTGAACTATCTTTCTAAAACCCTGACAACACAATGATAATAACTACCGGTAAACTCCTAATTTCTAAATAGTCTAATATTTGCTGTCTGTAAACTTAAATGTTACAAAGATTCAAAGACCAAAAAAATGTCCAATTTGTTTGCAGCATTCTAGGGGCTCTAGATATAATTTCTTATTTAAACAAATTTACAGGTAGCACTTTTGTTATCAACCCATGATGTATATTAGGATGATGTAGTTTAAAACTTTATGTTTATCTTCATTTCCTTACGCTTGACATACTTATTAATTCTGGAATGTACTGTCTAGTCTTTTTCGCTCCATAAAATATGAATTATGGGAAAACAGCGAGGTTCCTCTCATTCCTGTCATGTACTCCGTCCTAATGTTCAAATTAAAACCTTGACACGCCAACAGCCTTGGTTCTATTTTGGTCAATCTCCACACTCACACAACCCTGGATGAAAACACACAACTATGAAAGTGACAGATGACTGATGACAAGCGTGACATGGCCATATGTCAAAACTTGGACCAGGAGTGACTTTTATATCAGAAAATGAACTATGTCACTAGTAAGTGTTGAAAAACATCACCCCATTGTTCATGACATGCTCTCATTGCTCTAATTTTGAAGTTCTGTTTTAATTAAAGAATGAACATGTTTCCAACATTCATTGTATTGAAGTTCAATATAATCAAAAGTAAGTACCCAGATGTCAATAGCTTTGGTAACTCAAAACGAACTGGATGTCATGTATAGCATCACATGACACAAACTGTTTGTCCAATTAACTAGTTTTTTAATCACAACATACTGCAGCCCTTCAAACAGACAAATACTTTTTTATATTTGATACATGATGAGGTTAAATGGTGTCACCTTATATGAGGTTGAAAATAATTGCCAATAATGTAATATGAACGAAGCTTACACACCACCAAACAGGTGACATGTTCCCTAATGAACTAGTGGGTCTTACAAATCAATAGCAACCGACTCTAGACCATAGAAAGGCCAAATATCAGGAATTCAAAGCAATCATATGCACAATACAAAGATCCAATCCATATATATACATCCTGTCGACATAAGAAATACTGTTTATTTAGCTGAAGAGCTTTAAAGTAATAATACACATGCAATTGTGGGATTTGTAAAAGTTTTGATGTAAAATGCCAGCATATCAATTATTGTTAAGGAGCCTATCCAAAGAAGGTGACAAACGCGAACTGAACCACAGATTACTTCACCAACGCTTCCTAAGATAGAAACCTGTGTTAAAATCATCATAATATATTGAGCTCATTATCCCGACAAAACTGGTACATCTGTTGCCTTAAAATCAACATTGTAAACCCACTGATGTGGAAAAACAAATGAAATAATGTATTCATGTGAGACATATTGATCTAATAAGGGCTTAATCCTGAGGTAAACATGTATTTCGTGCCAACAAACGATTTACGATTTGTAGGTCAGTTTGTCACGTGGGCTGACACAGTTTTCTTCTCGTGGGAAAGATTTTCTCACTTACAGCGACATGAGATGGCGTCCTTTCATCAAATACTTAAACACAGACTACCAAAACATAATAAAGATAGCCGAGAATATTCAGTATCAGGCTTCTCCAGCGCCATTTTCTTCTAACCTCTCAAGTTCAGCGTTGTCTTTGTTTCGACATTATAACAGTAAAATCTCAATTCCGCCAAATACGAGAGCAATCGGTTTTCACGTGTGCAGACAAAGCTGCTGGCTGCTTTGTAAAGTAAACAGTACTTGACAAGGACAACATAAACACACAGAGTTAATATTCATGATGATAAAAGATGTTTGACAGAATTTCTGGGATGGAATATCTTGGTTTGATGTAAACAACTTCTAGAGCGTATGAGCTCCTTCTACAGACGGAGAGACAATGTGGTGGACGTCGTCATGATACGGATGTAATTACAAGAGGACATTGTTTAGAAACTTACCACAGTCAGAGGTTTTGTCATCTTGATTTGTGAACTTTGAAAAGCAGCTATCTGTCACGCATTTCACAAAGCAATATCAGCTGGGCTTGTTTACATCAGCAAACTATATTTAGTCAGCTCGTGACGTCACAAACAAAACACGTGCACTTGTACGAAAGGCAATTTTATTGGTCGAAGTGTTGTGAAGTGAACCAATCAAAGATGGTTTTACAGCTGCTATGATAACATTGTAGATGGCGCTGTCTGTCTAAGCATGGCGAGAAGGAAGTAAAGAAATTTTATCAACAATGTACGATCTTCCAGTGAATGTTTGCAGAATATTTTAATCAAATACTATGGGGAAAGAGCAGGAACTGCTGGAAGCGGCAAGAACTGGAAATGTTGCAGTTATAGAAAGATTGCTCGCCAGCAGAGTACGTCGATCTGCAGGAGGGAGTGCACTTACAAGCGCTCTTGCCAGGTGACAGCTCAACTTGGATAATACTCTCTGCATGACACTTTACGTTGCTAACCTAATTCTTGTTTTAAGCACCTGTGTAGAATTATAAGATGATGTTACCTCGTATGAGATGACGTTTGTGTTACCAGTACCGGTGTGATGTAGGTTTACGAAGAAATAAACAGTATTACTATTTTAATGAGGGTTAGGATGAAGTGAAGTCGCTTATTTCATTTATTTAGTTAGAATAGGTCTTCTGCAACCCATGTTTCCCGTAAAAGGTGACTATGCTTGTCGTAAGGCGACTTCAGGATCAGGTGGTCATGCTAGCTGACTTGGTTGATGCGTGTCATTGTATGCCAATTGTGTGGATCGATGCTCATGATATCAATCACTGGATTGTCTGGTCCAGACTCCATTATTTACAGACCGCCATCATATAGCTGGAATATTTCTGAGTGTGGCGTTAAATAACAAACCAAACCATCCAAACATTTATTTAGTGATAAGACCATGAAAGTGGCTCTCCTGTGTCATCTTTCCTGTAAATGTTTTTTTATTTTGTCAAAAACCATGTCAGCATCGATCTTCATGTATTATTTTGGTCTGCTGTCATGTCAAATGAAAGACATGACAGCAGACCACATCTGCTTTCAATTGAAAATACTTGAAGCAGTGAGGCCTAATTCCAGTATTGTTATGCACTGTTGTACAAGTATACTTAGTCTCGATATATTTTTGTATTTTCATGAAATTAGATAATTTTTTGAAAGTGTCCAATTTGTGCAATAACTAATGGTTTTTATGTAAGAAATACTGGATTGCCTTTAATAATATGATCACCACTGTCTTATCGTAATGACCTTATGCTCAGACGTCGTGTTTTTACAGTATTATATTTATGTAAACTATCAAGGTGCCCATCATATATTGATTATTATGTTAAATGTCACATGAAGTTCCGTCATCAACTCAAGATAGTATGACCCCTCTGCCTTAGAACATGTATGACCATTGTCAGGAAAGTGCACATTTTGACTCATGATTTAATTAGTGACATGTGCAACAGAAACTCCTACCATCAGACACATGTTTTCATTATTAAGTTGCCACCATGTTGACTGGCACAAGTTATTGTTCGTTGCAGTAAGTTGTTTCTAGCATTGTTTCATTTTTAAAAAATTCTGTTCCGTTATAAACACTTGTAAACCTGGGAACGTAATTGAAACATTTGATACTCAGATTGACTTGGCAAAATATATTTGTCAGTTTTGAGTTGTTTGGTTCAAGTGTTGATTGTGTTGTTCACCTGTGGTGCAATGTTGTGAAGGCTTACCTGTTATCTCATGTACATATAGAGGTTAAGATGCACTGTACCCAGAATTCAAAATATCATAAAAAAGGAGTTGTCTCCCCTATTATTACCGGGCAGAGCAGCGTTATTTACAGTTAGTTACCTGGAAACTTTGCAGCAGTCATGATCACATTTTAACATGAACAAACTAAATAGAGAAATAATTATATATATACAAAATACAATGACATGAACATCATTTTGAAGGAATCACAATGTACATAAATAAGCGGCATCAAATTTAGAGGATTATAATCATCACATATTACTTGAATATATGGTAAGGGGATTTCAAGGATGCTGAAAAGTGTCTTGGCCATATAGCCATTATCGCATGTGTACTTTACACTTTTCGTAAAGGTTTTAGGGGACTTCATGCTGAAAATACAAACCTTCCCAAATAGAACATTAATGATTTCACTACTTCACTGAATTCAGGTTAGATTTCATGGAACATAACATGTTTGTTTCTATATGAAATTAAATGCAGACCCTCTCAAGTGTATTTGCTTTTATTGGTTGTGAGGATTTATGTGACAAAAAAGAATGTGACATTTGTTTTTTCAGTCTCTGGAATTTCAAAGGAGTAAATGTGAACTGTGTGGATGCTAATGGCGGTACTCCTCTCCATCTTGCATCTCTCAATGGACACAGGTATGTATGATTTTTTCATAGTGACAGTTTAGGAGGAATTGAAGCTTCAAACAAGATGACTTCTTCACTGACGACATTGTTCCCCAAGTTTCAGGGTTAGATACGACCACTAGTTCATTAGTCCTGAAAATCTGGCAGGATTTTTTGAGTTCTCAAAAGGTTTAGTCACATTGCACAAACCAGTATCTTGGAATGATCCACATTTTTAACTAATAGTGTCCGGTTATGGGATACTCTGAATGATTGCTTTGTCTGAACAAGGTCAGTTATTGCTGGAGATGGGTAATTATGTTATAAATATCCCCTGTGGCAATTCCTAGTTAGAACAGGTCCCCAACAACCTATGCTAGTCGTAAGAGGAGACTTAATGGATTGGGGGGTCAGGGTTGTTGACATGGTTGGTGCATGTCATCGTATCCCAATTGTGTAGATCGAAGCTCATGATGTCAATCACTGGATCGTCTGGTCCAGATTTGATTATTTACAGACCGCCGTCATTATACCCTGATGTTGTGGATTGTTGCTCATAATATCAATCAGTGGATTGTCTGGTTCAGGAATGATAATTTACAGGGCACTGTCATATGGTGGCAGTGTTGTTCACAGTGTCATTAACTAACAGAAAAGCAATATTTTGAACATTCATTTTTAATCTGGATTTCTTACTGGCAAGATGGCGGCTTAGGATAAGAGTGAATGTCGTTTGAGGGAGGGGATGCTTGTATTTTAGAAACTGTATCGAGGTTAGAGTGAATTAATTTGTTGACTGGTAACCAGTAACCAGTTCACAACACTATATGTGTGGTCTACAAGATGCCTGTGAGATGTTGTGCACAGCTGTTTAATCAATAGATATGATAGGGTGTATTCATTCAAGACGACAGACCAATCAATAATGAATCCAAAAGAAGTGACACAAAATTATCATGTAGGCTGAGACCAGATTCACTGTCTGTTATCTGATTAATGCTGTCAGAGATAGTTATATAAGAGAGTAGCATGACACGCTTCATCGAACACAAGGGTTGATCACGCCTCTCAGCATTACCATGTGTCCTCGGAGCCCAGGGAGTACTCTGTTTGGCAATAAACCCCCTCATTATGTGAAGTACCTAATTAGCTGGTACAGATTTGGGAAGGGTTTGATCACAGCTAAAGATAACTTTGGGTATTAGGGTATTTTACCCAGGGGTTTGATTTGATGGGGTATTCACAATTTTTAGAGGGTATTCAATTTTATTTACTCACCTGTTCCTTGACATTTCGGTATTTAAACTTGTTTTGTACCAATTCCTGTAAATCATTTAAAACTATGTGAATAGTTTACCCATCTGCATCTACTTGCTGCTCTTGCCTGGAAGCCTTATTGGTTTGCAGAACCTAGCATTGTAAGAAAAGCGCTATGTTTTAACCACCAAACAGTGACTGTTTACATTGACTAGGTATGGTGTGCTTTTCAATTGGCATCTCTAAGTATGTTGGTCGCACAAGCTTTTCCTTATGTAACTGTCGGTAAGTGAATTTCACAAACGGCTGATACACAATCATTTTATCTAACAGTTGTAATATACACATTAATTTTATTTTGTTGCATATTTGGGACGCTTATACTGATTTTATAGTGCTAGCCCACTGAGATACTATGCCACACTTGAATGAACTTGAACATGAATACCCCACTCAGACAGTCAGAGCTACAGATAAGCAGCATATTTGCGTAAAATACTCCCACAAAATATTCACAACCCAAATACTTTCAATTAACTCGTGTACAGAAACTCATGCATTAAATGGAAAACTCAAATGTATAAAAACAGCTTGCGTAAAAAGCCAATGAAGCTTTTTCAGCATGCGTACAAAGGAGCTAATTTCTGAAACACATTTACAAGCTTATTTACTTTCCAAGTCAAGCCTATATTTAGCACCGTTATATACATCTAAAACATTATTTCATTTTTTATTAAATCTCAAAATGCTTACTCATTTTGGGAAAAGCCCAATAGAGTGATGAATAGATGGGTGGACAAATATTGGTTACCTAATGAAAAATGTAATAACCCAATTAAAATAGAAATCTTCGAGTAAAACTCAATTGCTCAAGAAGTTATCTGGAGCTCTGACAGTACACTGACTCCGATCCGACCAGTCCTTGTTTTAGCCCCATAATGGCGAGCATCAGGCTGGATAACACCAAGTACCATATTTTATGACGTGACCAGGGATTGAATTGTCAAGGGATATATGCATCTCAGGACTTACGGAGTACAGCATGATGTGCTGTTTTATGACTAACTATGCTCTTGGCTGGCACATTTTGGAAAGAAAATGTTATTTTATTCAAAACTGAGATTATTTAAAGTCTTATTTTCCAAAATTCAGAAGTATTGCAAAGGGTAGGAATAGAGACTTGCAGATTTTAATACTTTACAGCATGCTTAATCACAAACACTTGAATATCATTAAATTTAAAAAAATGGAAAATAGTGTTAAACAGACAATTAAAATGATAGCCTAACCATCATGCAAACGAAACCATGCGCACTGGGGTTAAAACAGGTTTACCAGTTTTGTCATACTGCACAATTTTTACAATCAGGACTCTTATTTTTTAATCTCATTATGGTGCTTTTCTGTCTGCTCATTCGTTTGATCACTGTGTCCGTAGCCTTCGCCAAGAATTAGTCACACCATAGAGGATGCCCTCACTTGTCTACTCAGGGGATTAATCCCTGGCTGAGTATTTGTGATGTAATCACTAATCTCTGAGGGCAGCAGGTGGTTTATGGTACTCAAACAGGATGTTAGTCATAAAAAGCTCGTTACAGACATTAGTTGTTATCTTGATTAATTATTCACAATGTCAAGATCAAAGTCATTTCACAGACAATGTATGCAATGTGGTTGTCTGGGCCTGTTCCTCAAAGCGATCGTAGAGCTAAGATGATCATAACTCCCATACTTACGACTTACGACAGTCGTAGCGCTAAGATTGCTCTGTGGAACGGGGCCCTGGTCTGTTGCGGGTCCACTTTTCAGCTTCAACGGGGCTTGAAATTGCTGGCATATCAGAAAGAATCGGGAATCGAAACCGGATCTTCGGCATAACAAGCGAACGCTTTAAGCACTAGGCTACCCACCCTGTAGACTAACATCTAGTCTCTGAAATGAACATATCATACAGAAAAGACAGTTGTTCAGTTATCTTAATAAAAATATAATAAAAGGGAGCCCAGTGACTCTCTTCATGATACTGCAGTAATCTAGACTTGCCAAACATTATAGACTTGCATGGGCTGTATTTGATATATATTTGTATCAGGGTCTGTAAGACAGACTACCCAACCTGGTGTTGAAAGAGTTAATAACAATCCTACCCATAAATACTCTTTTGTTCTTGTGGTTTTCTTTCTTAAACTTTTTGAGATAACAATAAATAAACGTATAAAGAGGTTTTAGAGCTGTATTTCAGGGAAGTCATCATTTCTTTCGACTTGTTGGGTGTATCGTGATACCAGTAGTAACTGTATACAAATCATATCTCAAGATACCAGGCACTACTTTTATTTCCAATCTGGTAGTTTTTAATGACATTTGCTGTAGATATTGGGCCAAAGATTGTCATCTGAGGAAATTTTGATAAATCCCTGAATATTTGTCAAGAATCTGTCTCTGAATTATTATCTGTTAAACAATTTCGTGACAAGGACAGTTAATTCAGCCGTTAGTATTGTTCAACACTTTTCCTGTTGCATCATAGAATCACTTCCCTATGTTTTGTGTAATGTCAGGCCTGACTCAGTCTTATGTCATCATGTTAGTTGCATACAAGATAGTGATAGTGATCTGTCAGTGAGATCCCATATCATATTACCTAGGGTTGGCTATTTGGGCGATTTTCACTATTGCGATTGTATTGCAATAGTAACCCATGCTATTGTAATAGTATTGCGATAGTTGTCAACTCAATAGAAGTAGACCCACTATATGGCTTGTTAATTATATTTTTCAATGTAATAGAAATGAATACAAGTGTTGCTGACCATCTCAAAGACGGCCATTTTCCCTTTCACTGCTCACAAGCTCCTCACAGTGATAGCCCGTTTGCAGAGCTCTCTATACTATCGCTACCACCAGTCAAAACTCCCCACTGTGATAGGTGACCACAACCATGCTTGGAGTTGAACTCTCAACTGAATGACCGTTATGTTTACAAACAAGTGACGACTGTCGCGACGCCGAATACACTTACCCCTGTTAAATTACTTTCTTTGTTTGTCAATTTGAACTTCTATCATTAAATCTATCATGTCATTGATATAGTAAGAATGTAAGGGAGAAGTTGGTTGATTTTCCGTTACTCTGCAATCTCAAACAAATCTGATTATACAAACAACAAAGCTAATTCATCTGGAAAACATGGTCCATCGTAAACCTTTTCAAAATGAAGTATGATGACCTTTCCAAAGATATAAACAAATGTATGAACGTTAATATGTTCGGGGCTAGAGGCCAAATTTCAATATTCTTGTAATGGCCGCGCCAACACTGGTGGCAGCGATGTTACTGAGAGTGTAACGAAGGTGTCACGCTCTGGGAAGGAGCTTGTCACTACTTATACCAAAGGGAAGTAACTCTAATCTAAATAAGTAGTTATAATCCTAACACAGGCATGTTTGAAATTCACACAAAATATGTTGTATTTATAACTCATTGCCATTATTGAAACTATGGATTGTTATGCATACTGTCGCTGATACTATTGGTACTTTTTAATTCCTCTCAAAGAATTAGGTCAAACAATTGCAATGGTTCGAGCCCGTGAAGATTCCGGGGTAGAATAGGTCTTCAGCAACCTATGCTTGCCCTAAAAGGCGACTATGCTTGTCGTAAAAGGCGACTAACGGGATCGGGGTGTCAGGCTCGCTGACTTGGTTGATGCACGGCCATCAATCCCAATTGTGTTGGTTGATGCTCATGATATCAACCACTGGTCCAGACTC